CATTTTATGTTATGAAATGGAAGTGGCAAGCCTATTCAACACGTGATTAGTTTCTGGTTGTGAGGAAAAGCTATTTAGACTGTATTTTCGCTGAACCAGAGGAAGGCTTTCAGAGACGCTAAAAGCGCTGTTACAACCATTTTGTTATTAAAAACATACCAAAAATGGTTTTTATGTTACCTTTTACCAAGTACTTTTAAGATCTTTATAAATGTGTTTGCCTTTCTGTAGGGAGATTTTGTGAAGAAATATCCTTTCCTTCCTTTTTCAGAAAAATGCTGATGTCAACATTTTGTTGAGGTTCAAGGCTAATTATCTGTTAAAAATGCTTGGCTAACCCCCATTTTTCTTTGTGGATTCCAATAACCCTTGCAAAGATCTACTTTTTCCACATGGTCCTAATCTGGTGCAAAAATCTTTGTATATAGTAGGGACCGTCCTTATTAGAAACACGATTGTTAACCAGTGAGTGTGCGTAGTGTTTGTGGGCTATTTTTTAACATGCTTTATAAAAGGGGTCTTTAGAGTGCTGGCCACTGAGAAGAAATTTTCGAATCTGAGATTTTTGCTCAATAATAAAGTTTGAACCTCACCTAAAAACTCTGTCGACTAAAAACTCTGTCAAGACTAAGGGTAAAATGCAGACTGCAGAATGCAGAGCGAACCGCAAAAAGGCTAACCGGAACGGTTATTAAGGCTAACATGAGTGATATTTAAGCTAACCAGAGTGCAGACTTTCACTCCGATTGCTAAAATGTGGCATTAATAACCCTGTTTTACGATTAGAACTCAATAATGGAAATAACACGATATATATTTAAAAAGTATGCAGTATGCAGTCTTCATTTTACCCCCAGTCTGCATTTTACTCGTGGTCTGCAGTCCACAACTCTTTGGCTACCTCCAACGTCTGTAATGTGTATTTTCTGTCAAGGATGGACAAAACATTATCAGGGTGAAAACTAGTAGGTCACGACAATATGAAGAACATACTTGAACAAATCAGCTGAAAACAAGAAAAAACTACTGCGTTTCCTGCGTGTATGCGACCAGCCTAGTCAGTAAGGTCCTTTCTAGAGCTCACGTACCGCGAAAAGTCGATTTCGGCAGCTCAGAACAGCACTCTCCGTTACATGTAAGTTTTTTTTTTCTTAGATGTTTTGAAAATTCACATCGTTTAGTTTTCGGCTACCGTTATAATTTAGCTTTTAACATTCAAGTTGCGTGTACAGCTTGCGTTGAATGAAAAAGAAAATTCTGGCCAGTAAGTTAAAGGATTCTAACCAAAGCGCTTTTGCTGGTTGGGTACTTGCTCTTAGTAATTTTTCAGTTGCGATATTATAATACGCGTTCAATTAAAGAAAGATTTTGATTCGATATTCACAAGAAGGGCGCGAAATATTAAAAAGTCAGTGCAACAGAAAGTGAAAAGCAGTCCACGACAAGCCAAATTTTAATTCGGAAAGTGTTCGTTTTATTTCCGCTTCCGAACATAACTCGAAGAGACGATTTGACGCAGTACGTGTCCACGGCAAATGAAATCAAACATGGCGGCCTGACAGCGGAAACGAGCGGTGGGTCTACGGTGGCCGTTTATTGTTGGCTCGAGGAAATTCTGCACAGAGAGGGCCAATTAGCAAAGCAGAATCGATGAAGATAAAGTATGTCGCCCATTGTTCACAATGTCGTGAGAATTTTAACACTATTTAAAGTACTGAATCCTATCTTTCGATTGAAGCTGATTGATGCTTACGTGCAAACATCTTATCCATCAAGGGGAACAAGAGATGACTAGAGCTTATAGCTCGTCGGAGGCAACGCTCCACGGATGACTTGTTCACAATGTATTCAGTTCAAGCCATTTTTGGTTGATTAATGGATATGCTGTCATGGGACGTGACCAAGGTGCATGGGACCTTTTTTGTCTTACGGTGAAGTTTACATAACACGTAGTCGAAGGTAAGCTAAATTTGTTTCTCATTTTATTCTCTTTTTTTTTACTCTCAATACTGCACAACCGCAATATTATAAAACACGTAATGTTTCAGCCAGGCTGGTACGGTTTATACATGCTCTGCAAATTATCGCACACACATGCTAACTTAACTTACTTTGTTAATCTAAATTAGCGACCGCATATGGGATTGGAATTTACTTTGCTTATACTAGGTTGTACTAGTAAACAACTAAGATATTACCAAAGAAGCAATGACAGCAAATACAGACCAGTAAAAATAAGGATCAAGTGCTCTTAGCTTTCCGTTACTTTGGTTGTCGCGCAAAGTAACGGAACGCTTTGATACTAGCTACAAAGAATTGAAAAGGAGACTAAAATGCCCTAGAATGACTTTTTGATGAGAATGCCAGTACCTTACAATTCAAGGAATGTTTGGAAATTTGCCAGAATGTGGCATTTTTGCCTTGCTGTCTTTTCTGACACTCATTTTTCACGGTGGCAAGTGACTATGATTATCAGTTGAGTTAGGCGTGATGGAGCTTTGGTGAAAAAAAATGCTGTAGCTATGGGCAACTTACCTCGTTTCCAATGGTAACAAATATATTGCCTCCTGCAATTTCGGGTGCTTTGCTGCCAATGACATCAAAGGCCGACAAGTTACCAGTGGAAATGCAGCCTGTTGCCCGTGACAACAACACAAGTTGAACGTTAAAACCTGGTCACCAAACTTTCGTCGCATCTTACAATTACTGATTGTGGCAAGTTGTCTTTGGTGTTAGCCTCCTGATTCTGCATGAACAATATTGAGCTGTAGCTCCTGCATGACTGAAAGTTTGTTACCCAAGCCAATCAGGCAAAGCATGAAAAACACTCAGATGTGACATCAGCTTTCTTATTATGTCATGTCACTAAGTAACCACTCACAACAGTTCCAAGCATTTCCCAGCCCTTTTTTAGGTATCAAAACTTCCACTCTCTTTCAATCAATGCCATATAATTTTCATGTAATGAAATCAGTGGTCAATGCAAAGGGTTAATTAGATTATCATAGCATTAGCAAAACACCCTTAATTTTGCATTTAAACCAGTTTGGCGACACTCCCCCCCCCCATTTTTTTTTTCGCTAAAATACTATTTTTTAAGAGAGATCACATCTGCTTTAATTTTCTGAACATTTTAAGATGGTTCTTGAATGATCTTGGCTGATTACAACTCTATCATAAAAAATGGGGTTACAAACCTCGTTTTTTAATTAAAAACACTCTAAGGTAAAATTAAGGATATTTTTGAACACGTCATACAGTTGCCTTGGTAACTTGAAATGGCAAGGAATTGATCATAACTCGTCACCAATGTTTGGTTCTTTGTTTAATGCCATTGTTGTAGCATTAACTGAGAAAGTACCGCAGCACTGACTCATCAAAATCATCAAAAAAGAAGCGCTAAAAATGCTTGAAACTTCTATGAGCCACCTGAACTAAGTCTCCTTTGCAGACGTTATTTGGGTCTGAAACACTAAAGACCTAAAAGAAACACTGCAGGAGGCCTGTAATGATCCTACGAAGATCTGATAATATGTAACAGTATATCAATACTATGTATGCTGTTTTAGGAGTCAAATCTTATGATTATAAATTGCTTCAAGCCATTCCAAACTCACCTTAATATATCACTCAGGTTATTTGAAATAAGCTTTTCAAGACTTTCAGAAGTTATGTTATCGCGGCTTAACATGTTAAGTTGCAATAGCGGTATTTTTAATACGAGATCGATGACTGCGCCTTCATTTGTTCTCATTTGGTACAGATGGTTGAAACAGATGTAGTCTGAAATTGAAAAGAGCACTAGAATTGACTGAACTAACATCACAAGCTAAAACAACATTAAGTAAAACCATCAACGGGAGCGCGATGGAAATCCATCTGGCATAGCGTAATGGATCAGTCATCAGTCGCAAAGTTGTCAGAGTGGGGACTGAGGCTGGGGGGTGGAGATGGAGGAGTGGCGAGGGAGGGACTCGAAACTTTTGTTTATCTTGTGTGTTGTTTCAGAAAACAGTAGTCATTGAACAATAAACAGAGTCCAAGAGGCGTGAAAGAGAACGTGACCGTGTTCAATTATATAACAAAGCGTACATAACGTGATCGTGAGAACCATGACAGTGCAGGAAAACCAGTAAAACCCGAATGCCAAAGAAGTTGGCGAGTAACCGGCTGCATTCTCGCAGAAATTAAAACTTCTCTCACAATCGGTTTAGGTTACCGAAACGTCTGATTAATTTGACTCTTGTAATAACATCTCCTGGGGTTTTGCAATTGTTCAAATACCTCTTAAGTGGAACGATGTTTTGCGTGCACTACGACGTTTTCAAGTCTTTTATCGGACCACCATTCGCTAACCTCCAGTCACCTCTTAGTGGCCCGGAAGCAACTTATTGAAAATGAATTCTTGTTAATTAACTATTTCCGCTGAAGGAATAATTGATCTTCATTGCCAAGTTCATCGGCTTGTTGCCAGTATATTTACATGTTTCATCTCTGTTCAGTACTCGAATTTGACTTAAGTTTAGATAAGGAGCTTCCTTTGACAAACACGTACGGCTAGGTAAACGATGGATTCCTCTGAGCAAAGAATTCCAAAGAAGTGGTTTTCGATGTTCGTTCCTCTCCCGTAAGATATGTTACTCTGAATTCAGTTTGTCTCAGCCCCGACCCAGCAGATGATCCTGGTGTGTAGATGAGTAAGGGCTACCTCTTAGAATAGGGCCATGTAGGGGTGGGTGTGGAGTGGCAAGAGGGAGAAGTAAGGGGCTACTTGCAATGGACTAATTCGATCCCATCCCCCCATATAGAGTAACAATTCTGCTAGTTAGTGTTTGCTATAAAACGCGGGATTAACTCTAGTTGCGCCGTTCATTTGGCCGTGAATTGAGTTGCCCTATTCAATACTGACCGTCTAACGCAATGTTAGAACAGGTCATGGGCTCCTGTGATGGAAGGTTTGGTTGAATTTCAAGAAAAGTTTCCTACTGTGTAATAGTTTCCTTATTTGTTTCGATATTGATGCCATTATGTCATTATTGGTATCGCGCGCCTAAAATTACTTGGTTACTACTGTTTGGTGTAAGGGGTTGATGAGTGTGGAAACAAAGGTCGTCAAGAAAACTCAACAGTACTGCAAGCATCTTTATATTTTCGTTTGCAAAGAAGCTATGTTTGCTTGTCTCGTGCCGATCCTGTGTTCGAAGGCTAATGAAAACCGTCACGTTTGAACTTCTAGTTCTAAGGTTAGTTCAACAGTCCAAAGTAAAATTCAGTCCTCGTTGATTAGCATTGAATAGTTTGCCTCGTGCCCGCCTTGTGGGTGATTGTGAGCCAAATTCAGCCTCAAGTTTCAAGTTGCAGAGTCCTGTGCGCGTAAAGACCGACTAACTGACTTCTAATACTTCACTGGGAAAAGCCGGCAATTCCCAAGTTTCGACATTGACGCACTGAATAGATGTACTGTACACTTTTTTTGGTAGGGTTTTACGAATCTGGCAATAGGTCAAGAAAACATTCCTTATGGTTAATTCTTTTTTTTTTTTTGTCTCACTATAGTCACGAGAGGTCACATTTGTTTGGAACGCCTGATCACACCAGATATTGCTTTCTAGAATGTGATAAAAACCTGCAGTTTAATTTTATGTTTGTACAATTTAACTTGGAACTCTCATAATAAGATAATATTAATTTCTGTTGTTTTCAGATGGACAAGAAAAATGTCGTTTTAGGACCAAAAAAGGCCAGCTCTTGAATTTTCGTACAGGCAACGACAGTTGGTAAATTTGGCATATAAGATTTCGTAACCACAAAAATTCCGTTGGGTAAAGAATTCAACATCACTGTGTCAGGTTATACAGATATTCCCTATACCAAGGCTTGAACGATATTGGAAAACGGAACCATGGCATCCCAAATCTTATATTTTGTTCTTTTTTATAATTATGTCATTTGTTGTCCAAGTAAAGGGAGCCGAGAAAACATTGCATTGACTGTGGTTCTGACTGAATTATTGCGTCGGGGGGAAACTCTCTAAAGTGTTTGGTGGAGGTGTGCGGCCCGAACCTTGAAACCTGCACCCTATTAATGACCAAACTCTCTGATTGTCCATGAGCCAAGAATCGGTACGCTATTTCAATTAGTACACGACTTCAAAATATTACCGCAGCTAACCAGAAATGGCTTCTATTTCTGTAAACATTTGAGAGGGGCTATAAATATGCCACTGTTAATGGGAAAAAAATAGTTCTTTGTAAACAAGATATCCAATGCCAAACGAGAGTGAAAAGCACACGATATTTCAGACTAAAATGATCTATACCCTTTTTTCGGACCAAAATATACCAAAAACTATACTCTTTGGGGCTGTACATACCTATATAACCCATATAAGAGAGAATCCCCGGGACGACGGTCAACCAACAATTTGATGTTAAGGAATGGCATCAAATAAATGAAGAGCGAATGTGGAGTTCAGAGAGCGCTTCCATGCATGGTTATATTGAAGTGAATATCCCCAAGATTTCACTGCTATATTCTCAACACAAGTATACTTGACTGTGTATCGATGTTGCTAGGAGAACTAAGTTGCTGACCACTTCCGTCAGAATCAGCCCAGTAACGTTTTGCGTTCATTCCGTTGGCTACCTGACAGAGAACTTACTGAGTCATCTTTTGCGTTTAAATCGATTTTCATTTGTTTCCTTGTTATGGCACTTTCTTCATTTTTGCTCGGAAAGCTGATATCAATAATTTTTTATCCACTTTCAAAACCGGACGGTGTAGGCGTTCTGTAGTTGACGAATTTCCGTTGTCAGTCAAGGTTAATAGGTACGGGTTTCCACAGGTCATGTGCTTTGAAAATTTGATTTCCTGGATTACAAGACCTACAGGCACGATCCATGGCAATTAGAGATATTTTGAGATAAATAAGATGCTAAACGCGCTCCGATTGGTTAAAAGCCAATTACAGTACCATCTCTGAGAACTGACATATATTTCAACCGTTCATTTCATTCAAAGAAACGAGGAAAATGTCAGTGCTAGTTTCCATTGTAGAGTTATATAAACACTCGTGATTTGTTTTGAAGAACTCAGAAATATAAGATAGATGTAAGAGGTGACCACAGCTTTTGTTCCTCTCGGAATACTGTCTGTTTATATTACCCTGTGAGTATACCGCAACTCTTAAGACAGAAAAACGTTTAAAATATTTCCTCAGACTTGAAAACAACGACGTCTTTAATTATATAAATCGTCACTAACGGGCGACGAGAAACATCTACAAACGTCCTGTTCGTTTGAAACCAGGCTGGACACTTTTAATTCGCGTCACACATGGTTTTGTCACTCCATTGCATTCAATCCATCCAGGCGCGTGATATCACCATAAAAATTTTCAATAACTGTACGCTACACGTTTATTCTAGTTCTTGTTGGGAGAATTTATAAATCTGTCAAAGGGACTTAAAATTAAAGCGCTAAATTTAACGTTGCATTAACGATGTACTCCTCCGGTTAGGAAGTTCCAAACTGAAGTCGAAGAAAAAAATTAGTGAAAACACGAAAAGAATAGAATGTAAACTGCAAATAAGCGGACTAAGGCTTTTTAAGGTGATGGAAGCCTGGTTTCCGTCAGAAATCACGTTCTGGAGATGATTGTAGTGAACCTTTAAACTGATTATTTCACTTCTTCTCTAATTGTCTTTCCTGTATTAGTGCGGGATAGGAAATTGAAATCCGGTTAACCTTGAAACTTACTCTGACAAACGCTACGGAACAAAGATAGCATTTGCTGTCGCATGTTGTATTCCAGTGTTCTGCTAAACTTTTGACCTTCAAGATATCCCATAGTGATTCTAAGACTTTAAGTCGCCCTCCTCTTCTCTGTATAAAAGGATTCCCTTTTCTCTGACTCAGTTTCCCTCTCTATTTTTGCATTTTGAAAGAAAACTTCAGAAAAGAGGATAGAGAATTTAGACGCAGAGATGATTACATAGTGCAGCTTATACACCTCCAAAGTTCTAACAATTTTCTTTTCGTCTGTGCCGGCTATTTGTGTTGCTGATTAAACTTGTTGTAACAGGAACATTATCTTTATTATTATTATTACTTAAGCAAAGAATATTCCAGGAAGAACAAATTACCCCATTACGTAGATTTTACGTAGGTCGGATGAGCTATAAAAATCAACACTATCACGTTCGTGTTTTGCTCCACCGGGCATTAACGAACTCTTCAAAAGGAACACGAACTGTGACAGCTGTAGATCGATGAAGGGGGGAGGATAAAGAAAAACAAACAAAAACATTTTTCAACTGGCCGACCATGGCAGTGATGAATTCTTAGAGAACAGAAAAAATGGAAACTTTGGAAAGAAAGATTAAAAAATACCAATTGTAAAATGAAAGAGGGGGATTCATGTTGAGTGGAAAAAGATGCAGAGCTAAAGAGAGATATTATCTACTTTATCCCCGTGCATATCCCCCCCTCTCCGAGCCCCACCTCGACAATACTCCCGGGTGCTCCCCCTTCCCAACGTTGTTGTAGCCATTATGATAAGTCTTGCTTCAACCTCTTTGGTTACCGAGAATTGCTTATATCTCGTATATGCTTGTTCAGTCTGGGCTGGAATGATCAAGATGCCAACTGAATCAAAAAACTGTACACACTCCTGGCTTGCGCTGCACTGGAGGTTAGGTGTATATTGCACAATATTTGTGATTTTTTTTTCCTGTCTATTTTTAACTCGTGGCCGCAAGCACGAGCAATGTCATGTTGTTGACAGCTTTGACGTTCTCCAACAAATTTCAGAGTCCAGAACTGTCTTCTCTATTTCAAATCAGTAGAGTTTGTTCGTTGAGAAAAAAAAAAAGGCTGACGAACACTGTTCAAATTTAGGGTTTTAACAATTTAAACACTTTTCACCACGTGAGCGAGTAAAGATTGTTGATTGTTGTTGAAAGCTTGCAGAGGGATACGTGCGTGCATTTTGAAACGATTACACTGAGATGGACGAGGAAAGGGGGGGGGGGCTGCACATCCACCTTCATAAAGAAACAAACCATTTACTAAAGCCTCTGAATACGGAGAACGTATTTTAAACAGAATATTCACACGCGATAGCACAGGTGTTGAAAATATCGTTCCAGTAACAAGTTTATGTTTGATTGTCTGGAAAGACGTTTCCTTGACTCCTTTAAGAACTTACAGATGCTTAGCATCCTCCCCCCGGATCTTAATCCCAGGGGTGTTTATAACTGACCGAGACCGGAAGTAATCAACAGAGATTGTTAGTTTTTTTTTTCTTTTGATCTGCGCGGCGTGATAGCCGCTTTGAATCCTCCTTGCTTCTGACTGGTTTTTAACAAAGTGCAAGCCTAATCATCGATCAATCAATCACTCAAAGTTATTATCACTCGACTAATTCAATAATAGACGAACTGTACACTACACAAAATGCTGTATGTGGAATTTGAATTTTACTCACCAAACGCCAATCCCGAAATAACTGCATCGAAATTGTACACAGAAATCTTGTTTGAACTCGTCTACAGTTTAAGGTCAGAGGCTCATCATATTCATGTGATTGCATTGGGTGCTAACTTAAGAGACCCCTGCGGGTTTCCTTATCTTAAGATGATGGCGTATTGTTACACAAGCGGTGTTGTTTGACGCTATCATGTCAATATAAATACTCCGTATTTTCCAAAGCTGCATCAGTAGCTCCCAACAGTAGCTCCAACACGTAACTGTGCAAGATGAGAGTACTGATAGCTTGCCTTCTTATAGGCGGAGTGCTAGCTGGTAAGGAAAGATTTATCAGGTGTTTTGCTTCTGAGGGATTTTTTTGTTTTTTACCAATGCCCTGTTTGTATGCACTTTATTATGTATTTCCGTCGATCTTAACTACGCGAGAGTCTTGTCGCATTCAGTGCTTTGCGTAGCTGCAAGGACGTTTTGGAACTGTGAAACATCTAAGTTATGTGCGCTTGAGAATTTGTAGCTACCTGTCCAGTTCTGGATCGTTCCTGGGGACTCCGTTTGTTTTCCCTTTCTAGGATTCTAGGCTTCCAAGAAGCAAAAAAAAATTGTCCATCTTGTGGCGTCGTAGATTATCGTTTTCTCGTTGTTCTGTCAGCTGGCATTCTTCTGCATTCTCTGTACGCAACAAGAAGCCCCGGCCGTTTTTCCGCCTTCTTCGAGGGGTATTTTTTTTTTTTAGACGGCGTCAGATTTAGTATTTTCCGTCAGGGAAAAACCTTTCCTAGCAATTGAAACCCTATATGTCTGCAAGTCGGGCAGCTAGCATCACACCCTCACGC